AAAAAAAAAAACAGTTTGCTATGTATTTATTAATAAACAGAGCTGTGTACAGATTCAGATTGTTTGCAAATGTTAAAATGTACATTGTGTTCGGCTTGGCAGGAACGCGTTGTCACAGGTTTAATCCCATACTTTTTCGATCCCTTTCTTGGGGAAGAAAAAATTGCATTGTTTATCTGTGATATTTATGAACACAGTAATTTGGAGGTTGTTAGCTTTAGAGTTTGGCTATGAAAAAAAGGAAAAAAAAAAAAAGAGCAATCAGATAATTCATGAATTCATTAATCGAATTCAATCTACATATTGGACAAATTATTCCTGGACAGACTATGAGTGAGAGTTGTATTAGGCCAAAGACAGGATAGGAAACTGTATGTCATCTATTACCATATTTTAATTTTGGATTTTTCGACTAAATTGTCTCGATTTGTTTATAGTCTTTGATCGATAAAATAGTTTATATGAGTGAGAGCTGTATTAGGTCAAAGACATGATAAGAAACTGCTTGTCATCTATTACAAACTATGAGTGAGAGTTGTATTATGCCAAAGACAAGACAAGACAAGAAACCGTATGTCCCTACTATCATATTTTAATTTTGGATTCTTCGATTAAATTGTCTCGATTTGTTTATAGTCTTTGATCGTTAAAATAGTTTTATTATTTTGTTATTTTACTTTATTTGGGTAAAAATAAAGTTACATAGTGATTTGGGTTAACTGTATTGAAGATCCCCAAAATATAAGGTTCATCTCATTTTGGTCTTCAATTTTTCAATTGCATCATTTTAGTCCCTAAAATATTGAATATATTTCTATATGATCTCTCAAGCAGATAACATTTAGATTGTTAACAATTTTTTTATTATAAATTTGTCATGTAATACCTAAATACCGGTAAAAAAAAAAAAATTTGGATAACTTTTGACCAAATTTTTACCCAAATTTTGGTCAAAGAACCAATCAAATTATACAGTTTTAATCATAAGTTATGCAAATTTTGGTCAAAAGTTATTCATATTACATATTTTTTGTTAAGACCTACCCAAACTTTGGTCAAAAGCTATCTAAATTATTATCTTTCTCATATTCAAATATCACATAACAAGTTTATGATAAAAAATCGTTAGTAATTTGAATGTTTGTTGCTTGAGAAACCGCTTAAAAATATACTTAATACTTCAATAACAAAAATAATATAATTGAAACATTAGAGATCAAAATAAAATATTATATACTTTAAGGATCTCTAGTAAAATTAACCCTAGTGAATTTTTGGTTACTTTAATTGGACAATGAGTAAAAACATAAAGAATAAAACTTTATGGTTGACTGCTTCAAGCAGCCAGATGTTTTTTTTTTTCGTAGTTATTAAGCTAATCGGTAACCCTAAACAATCCAAATTGGGTAAAAACCTGTCCCTGTCCCTGTCCCTGTCCCTGCCAACTAGGATGTTGACGACTTTGAACGTCCAGTTGTTTTTTTTGTTTTTGACAATCTATTTAATCAATTATTGAGTTATTCATGCCAAAATTTGTGAATATTTTGCTGAAGGTAACCAGCCAAGTTCAATACCTTTTATGTAAAATATTGAAATGGGGAATCATATTTAGACCCCCAGATAGTGATTTGGAGAAAAATTAATAATTGAGTTGTCAATTTAAAAGTTTTTTTGCCGTACATAACTGAACATTAGGATTTGAGAGAAAAGTGATAGACAATCTTATCTCTATTTTAGAGAGACTGATTCCCGACTCGAAATAATCAAGACGAGAGTTTACTACGGAAAATTATGTAAAGCATTTGGGGAGACCTGTTTCGTTAGCTTAGAAGTAAAAGTGACAAAATGACCACTACAACGACAGCTTCCACAATAGGGCTAAAACTAAGGAACGGAAAATGAAACCCAAATTTGAGAAAGAAAGCAAACCTGAAATGATATAGAATGTCAAAATACAGCCTTCAATAGAAAACCAGAGCACTCATAATTGCAGCACAGCGCATCTACATATATATTTGCCACTACTGCGTCTCAACCGCTCAATTGGAAAACCTGACAAAGAGCAATGTAGCAGAAGAAATGTTATGACAGGAGGAAACGATGATTTTGGGTGTAAGGCTCATAAACTTAGTGATGTAGATCGTATAGCCTTGTTACCAAAGTGTAGATCAAGAAGAAGAGAAATGGAGATGAGAATAGAAGAAGAAAGGGGAAGATAAGGGAAGAAGGGGCTTTGGGCAAACAAAAGCTTCAATAATATTCAGTAATTCAAGTTTGAATAAAACCCATACATGCATTCCCTATTCCCTATATATATATAGGGAAACCAAAATTCCAAAGTAAAGACTCTTAACATAACTCTACCAGTAGAAAGATAAATACTAACTAGTATTCAAATAACTAAACAACTATTAAAAGTAAATGTATACTAATTATCCAACTCCAACACGATTCTCATCACTTATCATTTGCATACATATGCACACAACTACCAAATTACTTTTTACAAGAAAATAGCAGCACCATTATCTCTTGATTACTAGCAGACATAATCAAAATTCAGATAGCTCAAATTACTTGTTTGATAATACAAGAATGAAAGATAAAACATCAAAACAGATTCTTCAAAACTAAGCAAGGCAATTGAACCAATGCAATGAAAATGCAACAGAAATATTGGAAATTAATTGAGGATTCATTGACAATTCCCGCGTCTTAGATGTCTCATTCATCCCAGACTTCCACCCTTTTCATTCCATCTACGTTGTCAAAGTTTGCTCCTTCAATGGGGTGCTATGGATCTTTTGTTAATGTTATGTTCTTTCTTCTTTTTTCCTTCTCTTTTTTATTGCAAATCAATATTTTGGCCTTATTAAGTTTTGCATTCTCATTTTTCTCTTGTTGTCTTTAAATTTTCTCTTCAGATTAGCAAAGAAACACTCTGCCTCTTAAACCAATTGTGTGTAAATAGACCTCTGGAGTTCTAGAAAACAACTTATGTGCAAGACAAAGTCTCTCGCTCTCTCTCTCTTTCTGCAACTAAACATCTTATGTGAATGTGGACTTGGCCTGTAGCTATCACTTCTGAAGTAAATGGTTATTAGGCTTTGATTTTTTTCTTTTGGAATCCTTTTGAGTAGCCAAAAACAACACAGCTTGGGACCATTGTTAACTCGAGCTTAGAATCAGACCAGCTCAAACACAAGCTCGAGCCGGCTCATTGCTGAGCTGAGCTCAATTAGGCGTCCTTTGGCTAACCTCGAGCTTAGCTCCATTTAGGTTTTCCCAAGCCAAACTCAAGCAAGCTAAAACTCGGTAATGATCGTCCCAATTATAGCATATCTATAAATACCCAACTTATGCTCACTATTCACTACTGATTAGTCACTGTTCACTGTTTCTCCAGAGATTTCTTTCTCCTCCCTCTCTCTGCTCGTACATATAATCATTTAAAACTGGATTTGACTTTCAGAGCTTGTTCTGAAGAGTTATACTGGATATATACTCTACACTCAGAAGGTAACATGGTTATCGAATCCTTTTTGGTTCCTACGTTATGTTTTAAAAACTCCGACAGAACCACATCACATGCAAAACTACAGAGTGCTATCCCACTGATTTAATCATAACTAATAATGTACTTATATCACATATAACTATGAACAAAGAAACTTAAGGACAGTTATATCTGCAAATCCTATTTAGGCATCATAATAAAGGCACTAAATAATGAATTACATCTGAATACAAACTATCCAAAGTTCAACAAAAACATAACCCAACTAGCCCACAAGAGATGTATCCAAAGATTCACACAAAACAATAAGATAGAAAAGTAAATATGGCAGTGTGCAATACCACGGATCAATTCGATAAAACGTACCTGAACGATGTGTTGATATTTCTTCAGTGTCTCTATGCCACTCACAATCTCAACTTCCTGCACATATCCTAAGTTTTTGCCTCAATAGAGTAACTTTTCATGTTTCTTCTTGCTCAATTAAATCTCATAAATCAATATATCATTCCTTCACCTTTCATTCCCTAAAAGGAGCACACAGTATACCTATTCTGACTCAAAAATTTACGTGCTAACATACAAGAACCCACTCCCTAGGAGGTAGGAGGTAGGAGGTAATTGATGTAACTGCCTAACTATGCACTGATATGAATCTATTTCAGATATTTAGAAACAACTTGAACAAAATTTGACAAAAGCAGAGAACAAAGAGACTCGGAAAAGGGACTTCTGAAGCAGATCCTGTAAACTGCACGGATCCAGAAAAACTTCCTGCCGTATTTGTTGCTGGAGTCGTATTAGGAACAGTAATGTTCTTGCAAACTCCAAATGATGCTCCTGCCTGCAAAATTCCCGCAACAATTGCGATTTTCACTTTAATTTTATATTGACAGAATTATATTTAATTTCAAAGAAGCCTTTGATCAAGTAAATCATGAGGACCCAAATTTAACTCATAATGGACCACAAACTCCATCAAATATGTAGAAGTACTTTCTACAAAGGAAAGATCAAACATAACCTTAAGTTTAGCTTGAATGTGTGTGCCATGCCATACCTCATAAGGTTTTTTGGAGTTCACGTAATTTTGAGAGTACCAATGTCAATTTCATACTATTGAGGTTCTTTGAGATTTACAAAGATGAAGATGAGGAAGAATAATGATCTGCTAATGTGAACCATTTTTTAAGGGGAATACACGGGGGTATGGCTTGATAATTCAGTAGATTACTCAAAATCCAATATGTTTCTTATGATCTGATTTTTAGATCAAGATGAAAGCAGCAAATGGAATCAAGATTTAGGGTCCTTGAAGGCCAAAATAAACTGAAACTCCTCATCACCTAATTTTGATAACAGAGTTTATCTTGTAAGCAGGTGGGGAAAAGAAAAAATACAGTTTCAAAAATTGCACCCAGTTGCAGCTTGTGACCTTGCATTCAGATAGGAATTCTATTGCTACTGTCTGCAGTTTCTTTCTGCTTATTTCAATATTTTCTGTCCCAATCAATTGAATTCTGTAATCAATTGGAGATTAAAATTGGAAACTTTGGGCAAATCACACATAGTATAACAGTTAAAAACTTGAGGCCAAACGCAGTCAGCTTAAATTCTGCTATTCAGAAAAATTCAGGTTTGGAAAATAAACTTAACCTGTTAGAGTTTGAACCAAAAACCAAGGGATAATTTCCGAATGCAAAATCTACAATGAACAACTGAACTAAAATGCATCATTAAAGCAGCGATTTTTCAGCTAACAAATGTGGACAAACCTGGCAGGCAGTAATCGTATTACACCCACACAATGTCTGGCCATTCATTCTATCCAAAACATCAAAAACACCTCCTCCATCACTCCTCTGCATAATGTCCAGTAAGAATGCTTAATAAATCACCCATATGCAAATATATATATGTATGCATATATAAACATGAATATGTATTTCCTGTCTTGATGGTCAAAATTTTAAATACCATGTAGAAGTTTACTGCCAAAAAGTTGGGCACCACATTGCCTGCCGCTTTGTAACAGGTGCCAATCATATCAGCAAGTGGAGCTGAATTCTCTTTGCAAGCTTCATTTTGAACTGGAATAGTTGGGAAATAATTCTGTAGAAAAAGAGACGCACTCTTTGAATTGAGGGGCTTTGATTCCTTTCTGTTTGAGCACGAGCCTGCTTGCACCCCACCATCTCCAGCTGAAAATCATTACATTACCAGGGTTCAGCTGGATTAAGCATATATAATTCACACACGCTCTAAAACATTACATATATAAATTACTCTAAAACATCACAGTTATATAGTACTTACGCTGGTTTTCCACCATGTACCTCCACTGATAAGCAATTCCTTCATCTGCTTCTTTTGAAGAGTCAGAAGTGAAAACCAGTAACCGGTGATTCTCTCGGATCATATTGGCAATGGTTGGCCAATCCTCACCCTTTTTTGGCATCTTGGAGACTGGAAACCAATATTTGTCCAAGCCGGCATTCGTGAACATATTTGTCAACCCTTTTGGGCTATGCACATAGTCCTCGATTATAATGGTAATAATTTCTGATGGGTTCTCACTCAAGAACGCTTCTACTTCCTTCAATGTATTGATTGCAGGTTGCTGTGAAACATCCAATGCATACATTATAAAATTGTACACATGGACATGACCAGGAATTCAAACAAAAAACATTAAATACTTGAAGTGAAATTATAGATTACAAAGGCGGTGAAGTTGTAACATTCCCCACGAAATGAATGGCACAGCCAGATATCATTCTCAAAGTCGTACATATCCAGCATCAATCCTCTCACTCCATTCTGAACAAGACCCATTCCACAAAATACACAAATCAACTCAAATAAACTAATGCATGTGCCTTCGTGTGTGTGTGTGTGAAAGTGGAAGAGTGGCAAGAATTAAGCTATTTGCATACTCCCAATTGGTTAGTGACAGTGTCTTCTTGATTGTAAAATGTAATTCTCTGAGCACCCGTCAATGATGGAGAATCAACAATCGAAAACGAATTGTGGGTTACAAGCCACGAATACTTGTTGAAGGGTAACCCGTAGATCTGCCAATTGAACAATTACACAAAAGATAACAGCACAAACTCTTTACTAGAATGAGAATAATAGCGAAAATTTGGCAAGAAATTGAACAGAATCCAAACAAAATTAAAGTTGAAGAGCTTACAACGGAAGTAGGTATGATAGCTTGGCCTCTGGTGCAGAAGGGCTGATTCTTACCCATTTCTGCGCAGTTGCCACAGTAGAGACCAGGTACACAGTCGGTGCTCGTCGAACATGAGTCTAACAGCTGCGTAATTCTCAAAATTCAGTTCCAATTCAAAGAGCAAAAGCAAAATTGCACGGATCCAATGTAAGTATGGGCATGTACTGAAGAGAGAGAGAGAGAGAGAAGTACAGAGAGGAGGAACCTGGCAATTGCCATTGGAGCAAGCAGCGGAAGTGATCACAAAAACAGCTGAGATGAGTAGCAGTAATAGAAATAGGTCCCCATTGGCAGCAGCTCTGCATCTTTTCACTCCGTGCACCGCGAAACACACAAACATCGGTACTGGAGATGCAGAGCGCACAGAGAGAGAGAGAGAGAGAGAGAGAGAGAGAGAGAGAGCTTGAAACAAAAGTAGCGTGAAGTAGAGCGAGAAAAAAGCAGTTCAATACAGAGAAAGAAAGAGAGAGAGAGGAAACAGAAGGTGCCAATTTTTGCGTTCCAATCGCGGGCTTTAACAACTTTATTTTCAGAGTAACACAGACATCCCTCGAGGTTTAACGAAAATAAACGACGCCCCTTCCACCTTCCCACCTCTCCTTTTTGTTTTTTTGGGCAAATAACCAAAAGATTAAACAAATTCAATTTTTACCCTTAAAGATCAATGGTTTCAAATTACACCCCAAATTAAATTAAATTAAATAACAGCGATGTGACCCAACCATAACGTTTGTTGCAATTTTCGTCAAATTGTCAACCACATTAGATGCACATGATGATTTTTGTCGGATTATAGTACTTTCCCTTTTCGCGTGTCTTACGTGCCTATCAATCCAATAAAAATCATCATAGACATTATGGTTGGGAGTATGATTTTCGTCAAATTAAATGCACTTGATGACTGTTGTTAAATTATGGCCCTTCCCCTTTTTGAATGCATCTCACGTGACTGTCAATTTAATGAAAATCGCATTAGACGTTATAATTAGAGTCATATTACTACTAATTAATTTAATTGAGGGTGTAATTTCAAATAATTGATCTTTAAGGGTGTAAATAAATTTTTTTTAATCTTTTGGGATGTAAAATGCTATTTGTCCTTTTTTTTTTTTACATAAAAGAAACATATTTTATCCAATATAATATTGTTGTCGCAAGAGCCCAAAAAAATTAATAAGTTCAAGTTTAAACCTCACTTTCCAAAAGGGTCTAACATTGAAAGAATAAGTGTTTATCAATTAACTTAAACCTTTTGCCACAAGATATAGAATTTCAGTTTATCTTTTTTTTTTTAATGAGTATACACAAAATAATACATATATATTTTGAACATATTTTACCTAACATCAATTCAATAGAAGGAACAGCGGGTTATGGGGTGGTGTTGGAGTGCTGGTGGTTTATGGGGTAAATCCAAGATGAAGAATGAAGAGAGAGGAAGGGATTTGTTCAAATTGATTTTTCACTAATCTCAAATTTTAAGGGTAAAATTAGTGATTTATAAAAGTCCTAGCAACAACTTCGTGTCTGAAGACATTATATAATATTAAAAATCAAACTGATCTTACAATATTTATATTTTATATATTAATTTCGTTTTTAATTATTCAATTTAAAATTAAAATAAAGAGAAAAGTAAGTGTAAATTAATGAAATTATTTGACATTGAAAAATTTATTGATTTAGTTGGTTGATATTATGTGTTGTGTAGAGAATTTGATAAAAAAAAATTGGAAAAATTTTGTATTATTGGATCAAAGTAATTGAAGATTGGAATCAATCTTGGCTATTGTTATACTTTTATAAATTAAAATTTTAACTACAATATTAAATAGATGTAAAATATGATTGGTCAAAGGGTTGACTAAAAGTTGGCCTTAAATCCAAGAGCCTGAGTGTAATTTTTTGAAATTGCAGGGGATGAACTTTGAATATTTAGCTCTTGTTTGTACCTTTGTTTTATATTTATTTCATCGACCATCGCTTTTAATCTCGTACCTAATAGTAATACTAAAATGTTCAATATTGCAGTCCAAGCTACCATGATGGGACACCAGTAACGGCGTCGTTTGGTGCTAAAGGCGTTGGAACATTTGGTATGTCATCCTTGTGCAAATCAAAGTTGGTCTTGGCATAACTCAAGTATTTACCTTTTGGCCCTTCTTTAGAGGTTTCTTGTAGTGCTTTCCACATGGTGGGACACCTTCCTTTGCTATGCGGATTAGATTACTCTCTTGTTGAATTTCTTTTTATAATAGATCACTCATCGTTTATATTGATAAAAAAAACTTAATTGATATCGATTAAAGATGGAATTACACGTTTGATCGAACGAGATTCAAGCTTGAAAAATGATTGAATTTACTCTCGGGGCGAGGGATATAACCTTTGATGCATTATTATGTTACACTTTGACCAGAGTAGTGGAGAGTTTTTGGCTGATCCACACCATACTCTATCCTTGTAAGATGATACATACCAGCTAACTGTCCCAAGAAAAAGGTAAGAAATGAATACATTTATGGTGTGAATATGTATTCCACAATCTACACGTTTCCAAAGTAATGGCAAACAATATAAGCTCGGCAAAAACCTGTGGGGGCGATTAGGTTGGCTGGTTGGTAGCTAATAATTGCATTCATGTTTGGGTGGTCCACCGGTTAACCTTGTCCACTTACAGACATGAGATATCCACTTCGATACTTTACATATCCCGTAAGAACAAGTCATCCTTATTTCTCAAGAGACATGTTTTTAAACTAATTCGAGTTACGGTGATTGACTCAAAGTTCGAAGGAGCAGTCAGCGCAAGTCTAAACATCTTATAACTACTTATATATATATATATATATATATATATATATATATATATATATATATATATATATATATATATATATATTAGACAAATAAAGAATGAAAAAAAACCAATAAATTCTACTTTTTATTTCAAAAAAATAATTGGGTCCTATAAAATTTGTATTAGGACAATTAAGACCTATTCTCCCTAATTAGTGCCAAAGAAGTAATAGTGTTAAATACAAAAGTGTCTTGTGTCAATCAAGTTTATATCTATGCTACTATGCTAATGAAAGTACTATAAGCACAATAACTTTAAATTTTTCTTTTTAGAGTTAATTGATATTTTAGTGTCCATTTTATCCTTTTATCAAATAACTATTGGAATTGATTTTCAATAAATATGTCAATTAAACATTTGAGAATTTTTATATTCCCATGGCTCATAAATTGACCCTGTTAAGCCATGACTATTACGATTATTTAATTTTGGATAAAAATATTATATTAAAATGCTTCAACCATCATAATTGTGCTATGAGAAGTAGTTGAAAATCTAACAGTTTTGTGCGTTAAAAAAAGAAAGTAATGTTATAAAATTCAAATAAAACTTTAAAAAATGTAACATAAATGTATATTATACATTCGATGAGCGGGTTTTATTAATTTTTTTAGTGGGGTCCACTCATCCTACATTCATCTAAAAAATAATATGCATTTGAATTTTAACTTTTGGGTTTCATTTGAGTTACGTAACATTTTCGTAAAGAAAAACAGCATTCAACCACAAAAAAGACTAATTATCTTGTCTTGAAATTATATTTAAAGAAAGACAGAACTACCTGTTAATCCTCCCCAAATCTCAAACATCCACTATTAAGAAAAGTAATTAGGATTGATACAAGAAATTGGTATTTTAGTAATTAGCACAAAAAGGATAAAAAAGGAATATAAAAAAAAATTAGGATTTCATTTGAAACAACTAAGAAAAGTAAGATTTAATTGTTCTAATACAAATTTGATAGGACTCAATTTTTTTAAAGAGAAAAAGTATGATTTATTAGTGTTTTTTTTTTTTGATAAAGAAGTATCTAGGTATTTGATATAAATAAACGCTAGGGAATCGGAGAAATCAACCGAGAACTATAACCAATAATGATAAAAATGGCACTACCAAGTAAAAAAGGGCACGATTCAAATTCCATCACCAATCAAAATTACATGAAAATACTCTAGAGAGAGAGAGAGAGAGAGACTTCATCCTAAGCAATAGAGACAAACCAAGAGACATTACAAGCAGAAACTCTTTTTATTTACGACATGATTTCCACTTGCATTGCAAAATAAAGAATAATGTTTATGAAATGACATGATTTCCATGTGGGTAATTGATTCTTTTACAAGATACTTCGGTGTAAGACAGAACACTGATTCACAAAGCTTGAATTCTTTCCCGATTTGCAGAATACACTCAGCTTTGGAGTAATCAGAATGAAAATGATATCCAGTTAGTTCTCAGTGGGGATGCCATTGGCTTTCCCCAAACCAAATGTCTTCTTACAAATTACAAGTAATTGCTCTCAATTGAATATGTCTTTTTGTCTTGAAACCTAAAAACCTAAAATATACATTAAACTCCAATCTATGGCAACGATGAGGGGTGTTCTCTTACTGCCAAAGCTGGACATCATACAAACAAAGGGCCACACACATTATCATATTATTTAGCCTGCTACTGGTTTTCAATAGAGAGAGAGAGAGAGAGAGAGAGAGATTTAAAGCAATGCCCTTCTTAATCTTCATCTTAAGGATTATTGTGCTATACATAAATGAGAAGGAATGTTCTGATTTTAGAAAAAGATTTACAGTGAAAATAGGTGCACGCTATAAAATAATCTGGACAGTAGTATGCATAATTATTATCTCCATTTCTTGAAGGAAAAAATTAAAAAACAGAATGAAAGTTGTATGGTATCGATTAGAAATCCTCTATGGTTATAATTTGATTTTAGATATAAATATTGTTGAAAATCGTATAACATATAGCAGAAGCGTAGGATAAAAGACATACCTTATTTGCTTTAATCCAAAAACCGTTTGAGTATGTTCCACGTACTTTAGAATCCAAATCAACATCTTTTCTTTAATTGCTCGAGCAGTATGGTGTTGTTACATAAAAAGAATCAACACCAAGTTTTTTACAACACAATAGCCTTACAAATGTTATGTAAGGAAAGAGAGAAGAGAGTAGGAGAGTTTTAATGTTAGATCAATTATCTCAGGTGTATCATCTATTTGATTGATTTGGGTTTATATAGACAACCAATGAGTGTCATTAAGAGACACATTATATAGGGACATGTCTGTTAATATTTAACAGACATGTATTTTGGGTGATAAATAATACCTCTTAGTAAATGATATCTCCAAAAGACATGCCCCTTTGGGCATTCTTTAATTTGGGTCGACCCATCATGGGTGCCCCGGTTCGGGTCCATGAACCAACTAATATCCAACATCTCCCACTCGCACGTGGTGGGTACGACATTGTCATCTTTTTCAATCTATTATATACATCAACATCAATTCATACAGGTTAATGGGTTGTGCGACCGCTGAGCACACTTGCAATTTAGGAGCTCTAAACTAGAA